ATATACACCATGGAATACTATGCAGCCATAAAAAAGGATGAGTTTGTGTCCTTTGTAGGGACATGGATGCAGCTGGAAACCATCATTCTTAGCAAACTATCACAAGAACAGAAAACCAAACACCGCATGTTCTCACTCATAGGTGGGAACTGAACAATGAGATCACTTGGACTCGGGAAGGGGAACATCACACACCGGGGCCTATCATGGGGAGGGGGGAGGGGGGAGGGATTGCACTGGGAGTTATACCTGATGTAAATGACGAGTTGATGGGTGCTGACGAGTTGATGGGTGCAGCACAGCAACATGGCACAAGTATACATATGTAACAAACCTGCACGTTATGCACATGTACCCTAGAACTTAAAGTATAATAATAAAAAAATAATTTAAAAAAAATGGTCATTGCTACTTGCATTTTCTGTGAAGCCAGCATACATGCAACATGCAACTTAAAAACCAAGCTATGTAATATGTAGCTTAGATTTCAGGTTGCCTTTGAGGTTTGATTATTGCAGAGATCAACTTCCAGACCAAATATAGATTAATTCTGCATTTGGTCTCTTTATCATATGAAACATCCCAGCCTTGGGTATAAATTAAGAGCAAATACAGACGTCCTTGTCAGGTGGTTGCTTCTCTGCACCTCCCATAGGTGGCGGTGAACTAAGACCATCAAGAGAGAAGTCAGAATAGTATCTTAGATGACGTTAAATTATGTTTCAGTAACTCATAAACTCTGTCAGTGAGCTTGCAGCATTGCTGAAGCATACCTCTTAGAATCCAAGGGATGAAAAGCAGGTACAAATAAATTGTGTATTGAGTGACTTTCAGACTGCAGTAGTATTAATTTTGTTTCAATGTTGAAATGTTGTCATTGAAGAAGTCCTAGATTCCACATGAGCTTATACACTGAGAGTTCACAATGAGATGCAGCATTATTTTGAACTATAATCTAGGTAATGTGAGGAACTAGAGAAAGCAGAATAGATTCTTAGGAAGTAGAAGTAGAGAGCTCATCTAAATTACAAATGAATTTTTTGTGTAGGCTTTAACTGGTTTTACAGGAGGCTACAAGGTACAAACTATGAATCCTCAATAGACTAGGGAAAACATAGCAAAAATTTTCTTGTAAACAATAAAATAAATAAATGTATGCATACTGTATTCTCTCCACATTGCGTGGTTGAATAGATAGAAATTTGATTTAAGAGGAATTGATGATTCACTCTTATCTCAGTTATTAGGTCAAGTAATTTATATTTCTAGGACTTTTATTTGCATGTGTGTGAAAAATTATAAAATATCTCAGTTATCAGGCAAAGGACTTTATGTCCCTGGGAATCCACTTGTCCTCTTTAACACAGAACTTAGATTAGATTATTAGCTCTTAAATTTTCCTAATTATCAGAAAATCCTAAAGTCTTATACAAAAATGCAGATTCCCTACAAGCACCAATATTGAAAGCTCCAGAGGAGAATCCTAAGAATCTGTATTTTTAGCAAAAGCTGGTAGTGGTTCTGATGGTAAGAAAGACAAATTGGGGAAACGTTAGATTAAATGATGTGTAAAGTAAGTGCCATGTGATTGAATGTCACAATTTATTTTAAAAATTTCTTGAGATGAATTGTAAATGTGACAATTCATTCTAGCTTATCTCCTAAATAGCATCAAGGACCCTATATTCTCTCTTTGAATTGCATTACAAAGATGCTAACTTAAATGCAGTCAGTGGAAGGTAGCTGAATCACAAAAAATGATGGTGTGTCTTACAGTTAATAAGAGCTTTTGTTAATGGTGAAGATTTTATCTGTGCTTTTAGTTCTGTAGAAAGGAGAGGGTGTCAATGCACTATCCCTTTCTAGCTGGTAGAAAACTAACTGTATTAGTTTGCTGTTACTATCTCTATAGAATATTCCACACCTCCTTCCCTCTGTTTTATCTGCTTAGCAAACAGTTCTATCCTTGATTTTGTTCAAGTAGATTTCCTTTCCTGATAACCATATTTTGATTACCAGCTAGCATAAATATTCAGACACATGTAGAGTTACATTTTCATTTTGTATTAAGTAACTGGCATTTTGTTTTATGGTTACTTTCTGGGGATACTGTCCACTGAAGACCAGATGCAAGCTGAATATAGGGGGAGACACTGTAAGAGGCTGGCATGAGGCGCTAGTGCTTATTTTCTTCTACTGTAAAATGCCTGGGCATGAAGGGGAAAAGGCCTGGATGTAATTTGATCTGGAATTTCTGACCTAATGCTTTAAACGGATTTCTGATTTGAGGCACTGCTTGAGACAAACTCATCCTCTTAAATAGGAGCCTGGGGCAGTGACTGGACACCAGAGTACATGAACAAAAGGTAGAAATCAGGCTTATCTTGTGACAGATGAAGCTGAGGTGACTGCTTGAATATTTACCCCAGGCATAACTGAGATAAAGGACCATCCTGCTGAGCTGCCAGATAATGCAATGAGAATGGTTTTCATAACTAATTTCCAGTTTTCAGGGAAAGTAGTATACTAATGTTTCAGAATTGAATACTTAATTTTTATTTTTGTATGTACAAAAATATACTTGATGAGTTTGGGAAAAGCATTAATGGACAATTTCATCAGTTTGATATATAGAGATGCTCTCTATCACTTAGCTTAATATGAATATGTGGCTTTATACAACAGTGTGTTTCTTTTTTCTTAGTTGTGTGACTTACTGCCATCAAAAATCCCATTATACAAATGTGTATAATGAGAAAGGCTGCAACATAGTTTAGTGAAATTATGATGAAAGATGTTTAGCAAAACTTTGACCAAATATATAATCAAAAATAGTTAATTTGCATAGCTAGTCTACAAAGTACCTAGGATCTCATGAACTGAAGATCCAGAAAGTTCTTGCAAATGGAATTTTTTTAATAGAAAAGCCAAAGGGCTTTCATATGAAAGAGCAGTTGGTTGTTCTACTGCCACATCTTCAGAAACTGAAAAAGAAATACAAAAACAAAAAGCCTTAAGAAATTTATGACCCTCAACATGTTGAAAAATTAAATTACTTCAAATCACATAAGTAATGAAATATCTCTTAAATATTCAACGATAACTTGGGTGGCAAGGTCTAAACCACCAAAAAGATTTTACTCTAGATTTCTAGAATTAAAATTATCTATTTTTTTTCAAGTAGTTAAGGAGTGATGTTTAGTTTCTATGTTAAAGGGTTTGCAACATTTATGAATATTCCTGTGTTCTTATGATTCTTTGGTCTTGTAAGGTCTGTTATATATATTAGCCTTATTTTGAGGAGAAATGTATGTTAAATTATAGACTTTGATGAGCTAAATTCCCCCACTCCCGAACTACATTATGATGTACACATTATGTCACAGTTAATGTTCAACATACCCTCAAATACCATTTTGGGAATCAGTGGCTTAGGTGACACCAAAGCATTTCCATGTGTAAGTATTAAAAAAGATAGCATTAACATTATATTTTTATTTTCAAGGATGTCAAATTTGAAGAGCAATTACAAAGTGGACAAGAACTTGACAATAAAAAACTTTAAAGTTACATTTCAAATGAAATACTATAATTTTAAAGAAGAAAATATTATTAACAGCATTGGTTTTTGTTAAAATAAAAACTTTACCCACATTAAATTTAACATAATTTAATTGAGGAAGGAAAGATTCATGAATTGGGCAGCACTCAGAACCAGGAGCAGTTCAGAGAGCTCCACCCAGTAACATGGGCAGGCAGTACTTGTAGACAGAAAAAAGAAGTGACATACACAAACAGCGTGATCGCTTAGAGCTCAGCATTTGCCTTATTTGAGCATGGTGTGATAAGGCATTTGCTTTATATGGACATGGTCTAATCATTTGTGCTGAAGTTTGGCTGCTGTGATTGACACTCGCTATGAGAGTATACTCTTAGTTAATTGCAGGTTGTTTACATAATAAGTTAGGTTGCTGTTTGTTATGTAGGGATTCAAAGTACTAAGTTACTAAGTATGGAGGAAGCTTTAAGCCAAATTTAATTTAATCTGATAGTTTCAAAAGCAGTTATTATTTTCACTAAAATGAGATTTTAAAATCTAAATTGAAAAAAGTGTTTATTTTGGAAAAACATTTATTTTACAGAACTTGCTCCTCTTGTAAGGGTCCAAGGTCAGTTACATAATGAATATTAAGGTGCCATGAAAAAAAAAATAAAGTGTGACACATGTAGAAAATGTTATATTATTATTATAATGCTAACCACTTGGTAGATGTTAAAATTTTATAGTAAGAATAGTTATTTAAATATAAATAACTGTCTAAATTGGTTTTGTGTTATTTGTATAGCTTCCTCTGTCATTTAACACCTATTAGTGACTATGTGATCAGTAAAAAAAGCTAAGAAGCCTAGTAAAAGAGAAAGTGAAAGTAAAAATTTGAATCATTTGGACCTTTTAAACCAGTCAAGAATTAGACTCTTTGACTGTTCGGACATCATTTAACCAATGGTCTTTCTATGGGCCTATGGATGAGTTACTTAAATTTTGTGGTTCTCATTTATTCAAATGTAAAATAAGAATTTTAGATTCTAAATGTTCTCTATGGACCCATTTAGTATTAAAATTATAGATTTAAAAAAATATGTTGTAAGACTGGCCACAACTAATAGCTATTATACAGATATGTAACATATATGATATACATGTATATCAGATATATAACATATACATGTATATCTTATATGTGTATATATGTTTTAATTTATATTATATATTATTTTATATGAATTACATATTATGTATTATTAAATATAATTCTATATAATATAAATTAAAACATATATGCACACACATATGTGTGTGTGTGTGTATATATATTTTAATTCATCTAACAAATGACATTGATATTACTCCAGATAGAAAGTGATGCTTGATAAATAACTGAAGATTGAAGGAAAGGACTTGGAAATGCAGGCATAAGTTGGGGAATGGTAAAAGGAGGATGGTCATGACAAAACTTATAAATGTAGGTAGAAGTCGAATTGGAATTCAGGAACTAGGCTGTGTAAGGAAGAGAAAGACACGGTTTCAAAGCAAAAGGATGCAGGATTTGTCGGCAGTTTAGATAGTAGTGTGAAATATTAACGTAATCAGTGTCTTTGGCACATATTTGGTTTTTCGATAGTTTTATGTTATGTAAAACAGGTGGGATATGGCATGGCACCAAGTGTAACACCAACAGTTTTAGTTGAAAGGAGAAGTTTCATTTTTCCTTAAAATACATTGAGAGCTTATAATGTGCTAGTTACTGTGCTGGATGCTGTGTTTGCAGCCCTTGTGTCCTTCAGTGTCCCTCCTGGAGGTTGTCTTTAAAGTCTCATAGGGAAGACAAACACTAAACGCACAAATACTTATGTGATTATCAACTATGAGAAGTTTGTAAAAATAAAAAGAAAATAACCTCACCTTGAGTGGTCAAGGAAGGCTTCTCTGAGGAAGTAACATCTAACCTGGAACTTCAGATAGAATTTCTAATTCACAGTAACTAATGGGTGGGTATATGGGACATTGAGCTAGAACAAAAGACAAATGTGGGTTAGTTAAGGTTTAAGTAGGGTTTAAATCTATCATTTTTTTTTATTTCTGCTTTAGGTCTGCATCAGTGTTAAGCTGCTGCATAGAAACATAAAAATAGCGGTAAAAATGGGATTTGGTGTCTCCTTTTACAAAGAGAATGAAAGGCTTATGATTTTTGTAAAAATACTCGTATATTAAAAATAATAAATTAGAGTTCAACCCTTTTCTTTAAAAATACCTTTAATGGTATGGAACATAAAAAATTTAGTCTGTTGATGGGAAAAAATAACATTTAATAATTTTAAAACTATGCTTCCTAAATAAGAATTTAATTTTGGCATGTGTGAGCCTATTGATTGGACAGTATTACATTATATTCTGTTAAAATCTTATTATACCTTATTAGGTCATTTTTAAATAATAATAACATTTACTGAAAATTTTAATCAATAACTCTGAACCGTCTTCACCTTTTTCTTGAGTATCAACTGGACCTTTTAAAATTAAATCCTTTGTAACCTTTAGTCAAATAGGTTCCATATAATTTTTAGGATTGGAAAAACTGAAACTGATTTGTCCTCATTCAAATAATATATGAGATGCGAAGTGGGTTACAGGGTATATGGGTTCTCTGAGGGTATTTTAAAATAGCATATGAGTGTGCAGTTTCAAGTAGCAAACTAATTTCAAGATGATCAACATTTATTCTTCTTAAAATTTACTTAGACAGGTTTCAGGAAGGCATTGTTATGTATTGGAGGCAAAAACAGAAATGTGACCCAATTTTGGCCTTTTTTTTTTTTTTTTTTTTTTTATTTCGTACTCTTGCTTATTGCCCAGGCTGGAAGTGCAGTGGTGCAATCTCATCTCTATCCCAAATCGTAACATGTAGGAGTGCACTGCTTTTTTTTACTTTTTTTTTTTTTTTTTTTTTTTTGTACGTCTAAAAACACACAGAGGAAAATGGAACTGAAATGAACTTTGTGGTTTGTGAATCCTTTAAAAACCGCAAAAAGCAAATTAATCTCATATGACTTGAATACTTAGAGATGATATGTGTGATGATATGTGTAATGTAAGACATTTGTTTACATTTCAAATAAAGATCAGCTCCCCCACATCCTCCCTCTTTCTCCCTCTCAATGTGTGAATTCTCTTTCACTCAGTAAGATTAGCATGTAAGTAAAAAAACATGGCTGTTCTGAGGTTTTGAATGACCCAATTTCTTAAACCTTTTTTGATTTCTGTTTTAATATTGTTATTATTTACTCTCTGCCCTCAACACAGCAGAGGCCTTGATGGGAAAAGATTTTGCGGGCAAGTGACAGGTGGGTGGTCGAATCTGGAAGACACTAACAAATGAGACTCCTTCCTTCAGAAGAGTATAAAATGAGACATTTTATTAGGGGAAGGGAGGCTGAGTTGATTTAACCATTCCAATGTGCAGATATATTAGAAGACAATTAAGGGATTATAATGCTTCCAAAAATGAAATATTTCAACCATGCAGCACCATCCAACTGCGCTGTTTGGAGGTAATTCTCCATGGATTTCTTTTGTTTGGCACAGTTCAGCCTTTGAGCAAAGGGCATATTTAAATGGTCTTTACCTTGAGACATTTGCTTACATTCTAGAGTAAAAATAAGCTCTCCTTGCCACCTCTCTTTCTCTGGAGGGGAGAATGGGCAGACTTGCCAGCAGCCTATTCCAGCTACAGTCTCCTCATTTTGGATTCCTCTCCTATGGGTGTGACTGTGTCACATGCAAGTAAACATCCAGGCCTCCTCATGTTGCCCTGTGGAAATGGAAGGTACTTCTCTGGCTGTTGCTTTTTCTCGTCTTTTCTGTAATATATATATATAAATAAAATAGTGGCAGATTAACTCATTAGCTTCCAAGTAGGGTAAAATCTCAGGCCCTTCATTCTTTCTGCCTTAAACTGCACAAGGGACTGGCAAACGCAATGGGAACCAGGCATGGGACATTAATTGAAAAAAGTAGGTGATACGGTTTGGCTCTGTGTCCCCAACTAAATCTCATGTTGATTTTTAATCCCCAGTGTTGGGAGTGGGACTGGTGGGAGGTGATTGGATCATGGGGGTGGGATTTCCCCTTACTGTTCTCATGATAATGAGGGAATTCTCATGAGATCTGGTTATTTAAAAGTGTGTCACACTTTCCCCCTTTCCCCTTCATTCTCTTCCTCCTACTCCAGCCATGTAGGAAATTCTGGCTTCCCTTTGCCTTCTGCCATGGTTGTAAGTTTCCTGAGGCCTCCCAAGGCATGCTTCCTGTACAGCCTGTGGAACTGTGAATTGATGAAACCTCTTTTCTTTATAGATTACCCAGTCTCAGTTCTTTACAGCAATGTGAAAATGAACTAATAGAGTAGGTGAGGTTTAAAATAATGAATGGCAACTGACAACCTTGATGTGGGTGCATAATAGGGTAGACTAGTGTCTGCAGCAGCTGAGGAGCAATGTCTTCTTGTGAGATACCCTACTTTTAAAATATTGGCAACCAGTCTGACTCAAGAACACTGATGGAGTTAAGCTAAACTGTTATGGACTGAGTTCAGCCCAAGGGCCACCATTTAGTCTTCTCTGTCGTAAATGGTGAGATAGTCAGGATGGGGATGAATTTATTTCTTCCTGGTAACTATGGGATCACTTGGCACAATGCCTAAGTAGGCACTCATTTTTCTTTTTTGAATCAAAAATTCTTAGCAAGCTATAAGCCAGACGTTAGCTAAGAAGAAATACAATGTAATGCCAAAAGATCAACATAAATTTTGTCATGATTTTGTTTCCCAAAATAAGAACATAGATTTGGTAGACATCATATTTTTCGGTCAGTAATCCTCTTATAGTTCTTGACTACTTATCTATCCCAGCATTTTATTTTGTCTCTCCTGTTGCCGCAATGTTATTATTATTATCCATTCCTGCGCCCAGTTTCTCACACAGTTTTAATATGGCACTTATGGCTCTTGTTTTATGATAAATGGTTTTCATATGTCTACTATAGTAATTGAAAAACTCCAATTATTCTGCAGTCTTGTGTATGTGATAGAGTCAGCCACAGAGTTAGAGTCATAAAATTTGTCAGGCCAAATCTGAGTTTTATTTCATAGAGATTGGTTTCAGGGTTATGTAAACAATTGCAAAGATGATTTAAAAACCAATATAAATTGTATCCAGCAAATATTTCCCTCAGTATTGACCTAAAAAGTTTGCAGTTCTAAGGTGACTTTCTAAAAGTTCCCAAGAATTGTAGGTTATGTGGTTAAATATTAGATAGTTGTCTGGATGCGTTTATAAGAGTTTACTTAACACCTTAGTCAGGTGTTAAAATGGGCTAAAAGAGAGCTTCATGTAATGCCTTTCATTCTGTTTGTGCATTTTTAATTATTGGAAAATCCAGTGAAAAATAAGTGGGTGTCATTAAGAATTATAAGAAAGAGTGTAAATATTTTTCCTCTAGGAAATTGTAAGTGGATAGCCAGAGAAGATTGTTCATAGCCAAATTGAAGAATAGATTGAGATTCTTGAGATTACTATATGTAATTTATTGTTATAAAATGCCACACATTAAATTAGCATTTGAGAAAAAAGTGAAAGTAATAGACACATTGATGACTTATGGCAATAGATATAGAATAAATGCTTTGTATTTGTTTATTGAGACATGATTTAAAGGTCAATTTTATCCTGTTTAGGTGAGCAGTTCTATGAATTTCAACAAATGTACAGTTGTCTTTTGGGATTCAGAGGATCAGCTCCAGGACTGCCCCCATATAACTAAATCAGTACATACTCAAGTCCTGCACTGGGAACAAAGTGTTGGCCCTCTGTATACACATCTTTCACAGCCACAAATATTTTTTATTGTGTGTGGTTTAAAATAAGCCATACATAAGTGGACCAAGGCAGTTCAAACTCATGTTGTTTAAGAGTCAACTGTATACAGTTGTGTAAGCAACCGCCACAACCAAAATAGAGTATATCTCCTCCATTCCCCCAAATCTTCCATTTCCTGATATAGTCAATCTCCTCCTTTTATACCCACAGCTTCTGTCAACACAAATCTGATTTCTTTTCTAATTGATAGGGTTTGGCTCTGTGTCCCCATCCAAATCTCACCTTGAATTGTAATAATCACCATGGGTCAAGGGTGGGACCAGGTGGAGATATGAGGGTGGTTTCCTCCATACTATTCTCACAAGATCTGATGGTTTTATAAGGGGTTTCACCCTTTGCTCGGGTCTCATTCTCTCTCCTGTCACCATGTTATCTTCCCCTTCTGTCACGATTGTAAGTTTCTTGAGGCCTCCTCAAACCTACAGAACTGTGAGTCAGTTAAACCTCTTTTCTTTGCAAATTACCCAGTCTTAGACAGTTCTTTATACCAGCATGAGAGTAGTCTAATATACCAATAATTCTAACTTTTCTAAAACAGCATAAAAGCAGTTGATAAATGATACAGGCTTTTGAGTGTGGCTTCTTTCACTTACTATAATGCTTTTGAGGTTCACAGCTGTTGTTGCACACATCACTGTTCCTTTTTGTTGCTGAGTGGTATTCTATTGTATGAATGTACTGCAATTTGCTTGTCTGCTTACCAGTTGGGAGATATTTGGATTGATTTGAGCTTTTGGAGATTATTAATAAAGCCGTATAAACCTTATTAATGGGTTCTTGTTTAGACATGTCTTCATTTATCTTGAATAAAGAAATACTTACATGTTCATTGCCATGTCATTTGAAAGTGTATGTTTAATTTTATAAGAACCTGCCAAATTAGTTGTATGATTATGGCTGTGCCATTTAGGATTCTCATCAGGAATGCATTGGAGTCCCAGTTGCTACACAGAGAATATGTGCTTTTTATAAATTTTAAACTGGAATTTCTGCCTTAAATATAATGTATCTTTATATAAAATATATTTGAGACAGAAATTCTTGTTTAAAATTTATAAATTTATAATGTATCTGAAAATACGTTATAGTTATAAAACATGCCAAAAAACTGATACGTTGTATTGGAATTGTGTAATATTTTACAAATACATGATGGCTAAAGGGACAGTAAGCAGCAGGTTGAATTAATTCAGTTTCTCTTATGAGTTAATGGAGCCTAAAACATGTGTTTGTGTGTGAGGACAATCGTTTCCATATCATTTAAAATTTTTGGTCAGTCATTCAGAGTTTCCTAAATATATAGAAGGATGAGTTCAGGAAAGTTGCTAGAGCCTTGTTAATGTTTAAACCTCAAAGTTCCTACATGGTTGGCAAGGCCAGTCTGTCTTTACTTGGAGCAGGTGGCAGCCCATGCAAAGAACAACTTGGATGAGCTGGTTCACTTCATAACATTTCCAAGACGATGATAGTTCCAATATTAGTAGAATTGACCTGTACAGATAAGGCAGGTCATTTAAACTAAACTGGATTTTCAGTTGTCTTTTGAGGCACTCCATAAGGTACTGATGGGACTTAGGAGTAAAATTTGGCTTCCCTAATTTCCAGAATAGCAATACTATCTTACATACAATGTATAATGCTTGTGTTTTGATAATCTTCTATTCACATTCTGGGGGAAAAAAACATCATAAATGAAAGTGACATTTTCATAATAGAGGCATTTGGGTTTATACTTCTTGTGGTCATTTTCTTAGGATTAGTATTTTAGAATAATTTACCAAGCTTTTTTGCAAGACTAAATTAAATATAGGGTTAAAGTAGGGTTAAACTTTAACAGTCATAACTTTTTCCTGAGGTGTGATTATTATCAAAAAGTCTTTTAAAAATGCTTTTCTTAAATATTCAAAAGAGATTGAGACTATCATACAAATGGACAAGTTTGGTATCTCAAATTGTAACTATTGTTCATTAATTCTCAAGAATGCTAACATTTAGGGGTTAGCAAATTGAAGATATTTTGGTAAAAATTATGATTAAGTTGTGTATTAGAGCAAAACAAACTGTCTTCTGTCTTGGATTGTTTCTGTGTCCTCCCATTGGCTTTGAATGCAGACAGGAACAATATTAAAATACTTCTCATGCAACATCAAGTAAATTCCAAAAGAAAAATGCCTTGTGCGAATCACCTTCTCTAGCATGTTACGGCCCTCTCTGGGTTACAGAATTTTGTCTGAAGTTTTCATAGATAGTCAATTATTTAATTTGTGACTATATAAAGACAATAAAAACATCTTGGAACAATTGACTCCGAACACCAGAATGGAGCTATGAATGTGTATATATCCCTAAAGTTGGTTTATAGCTACTTATATTTACAACAACCTCACTCTCTGTGAAGTGGGATGTTAATACCAATTTTCTATTCCTTCTTATTAATAAGGTAATGATAATCATGAGGAGTAAGACCAAGTCAATAGTATTTATTTTTATTTACCCTGGTGTCTTCTTTATCTTGCTGTTTCTTCTAAGCCATTTGTTAGCATATTCTGTGTTGTATTGCAGTGGGATTTGCAGGTATCAGTACAGGACATTTATTAGTGATTAATTTGTATTTGTGCCTTTTCACCAATTGTTCAGCCAACTCTATTTTTAAAAATGAAACAGAAAATGTTTTTCTGTAGTATGTTCTTTCAAATTCTGTCTGCTAGTTTAGGTTTATGGAAATTAATTGTATGATTTTGTACTAAATATTCTTTACACATTTTTGTTTTCTCTTCCTATAATGCCTTTCATTCATGATGATGGTGGGAAAAAGGATGCATTTTTATGTTTGGAGAGACTCATTGTAAAACAGCAGGACACTTCCTGTATAACACCATTAAATGTTGTTCAAACAATGTTAGGTGGACTATCTTTGCCCACTAGTTCTATGCAGAAAGATTTCCCAAATTAATTAATTTCCTTAGTGACAAATCAGGGAGAAAATCCTGGTAGACCTCAAGAAAGAGTAGAAAGTTGGGGAAAGTGTTATGAGGTTTGAGGTCAGCAATATGATCTTTTAAAACTTTCTTTCTCAAGGAGAATGTCAACAAATAATGTATGTGGTAACTTTGAATGAAGGATAGAGCTTGAAAAGTAAAACTTCAACTCCCACATATAATATTTGTGAGGAAAATGAAATGAAAACATATGTTTGTATAATGATGGGAAAACATAATGTATTTTTCTAAGTTTGAGTTTGCTGGAAGTTCTTTATTATTAAATTATGCTGGGATTCCTAGTAAGCATGCAATGCATTTGCATAAGTATTAAAATAATTCATTATGATTAATTCTATTACAGTAAATCTCAACCCTAATCACAATCTACCATATACTACAGTGGTTTGTCTATATGTGATATTTCGTATTTTACTAAGTTTTGGTGGAACTGTAGCTCCTGTAGCAGCACAAATGTCATCTGACTTCACTGTGATTAATGTAGTCCTGAAGGAGATCTAATCACGATTAGCCAATTTAATAAAGTGTTACAGAATCAGTGTCATGTGAGAAACATTTTAAAGCCCTTAAAAATGTATATCCTAGCAAGTAACTCTGGTAGAAAATTGGGTTTCTAGGAAGATGAAGAGGTTTAACTTGGGAAATAGATGACCCAGGGGGATCAGGGGACAATTATTTGCCTTCAAATACTTAAAGGACCAGAAGAAAACTACACAAATCTAGAACTAATGGCTGAAAGTTGTAGGGCAGTGGATATCAATCTAATATGCTGAAATTTCAAAAATGGAAACTCATCAGAAAGGCAATAAGCTCCATGAGTCTAACAGGCTCAGTGAAGTATGGAGGTTTCTGTTACTAGAATTATTCAAGGCAAGATGACCACTTATGGAGACTACTGCAAAGTAATTTTTTAATGGCACGGAAGGTTATATTTGGGTAAATTCTAAATTCCTCTTCATCCATTCCATAAATTTCCCTTACCACATAAACACATTTCTTCTTCTTCTTCTTTTTTTTTTTTAGATTTATTATTTATTTATTTATTTATTTATTTAAGATATTGGTGGAGGCTTCAGTGGGAGATGGCTTCACTGGAGATATTGCGATTGATGATCTGTCATTCCTGGACTGCACCCTCTACCCTGGTAAGGGAGAATATTTCACTTTGGAGTTATCTCTAAATCTGTTAACTTGGAAAACTTCCAAGGAAATCAGTATTTCATTTCTACAAAATTTCCAACATGACCCTGCTTTTATTCTTTTTCTCAAATCTATTAACTCTGGAAAAGATATTTTTAGATCCTTGCTAGTAATTAGTTTTAAAGTGTCAAACATAGTGAAGCTGTTTGAATCACGTATGTCTATGTCTTATCACATGCAAAATACTAGAAAGTCATGTCTGAATTTAAAATGTAATTCCATTATATTTAAGGAGTTATAATAACCCAACCATTTGCCTTATATTTACATCGTATTTGATACTTTATTAACCTCTCGGTTTACTCTCTGGAAACACTTTAAATATTTCTAAGGATTGTTGTCAACCATCTCCTCACTATATTATAGATTTATGTCTATTAAAATGACATAAATGACATATTTTCCAGATTTATGTATCCATTTTCAAACTTTCCCCTGAACTCCAGACTCATATACTACCTACCTACTCAACAGCTTAACCTGGATGTCTAGTAGGCATCTTAAAGATAATAATAGAAAATAACCTAAAATAAACACAACCCAGGCCCCGAATAGTGTTATGAGGAGAAACCCATTCTGGGAAGTACATAGTGATCTAAGAAGACTGGGTATTAAACTAACGGAGTTTGGCACTCAGACTGAGAATTCTTAAAGTGCACGATAAGAGGGAACATCATCTCCTCCCTGGAGTGATCAGAGGCTGGATCCCAACAACATTCTCAATTGCTGAAAACTTAACATCCATCCCCGCTCTGTCATCTTAGCCTCATTGGTCAGTGGTGCACCAGCTCCATCCCAGGCAGAGTCAGTCAGGGGATGGGGCCAATTCCAATATTTTCAGTTGTAGCTATGTGACACAGCTCTGATCCTACCCACCACTCAGCGTCCTAACAGGATCTGTTGGTGTCACCACTCTGTGTCATGATTTTCATAGAACTCTAGAGACAGCCAAATCCTTCTCTTGAAGGCTAGTAAAACAAGAGGCAGAATTGAACAAATTTACCCTTACCTTTCAAGGCCTAAAAGTGAATTCCTGATTACCAGTTGCCTCTCAATCTTGCCATTCCTGCATACCTCCCTATCTCAGCAAATGACAGTTTATGTCTAGCTGCTTATTCCATATTAACAAATCTGATTTATATTAACAAACTCAGTTTAGAATTCACTCCTCATTGCCCTCACCACTTCCCCCTTGGTCCAAGCAACCAGTGTCTATGCATGGATTATTGCAATTGCTTTTTAAATGATCTCTCTGCTCCTACCCTTGTGCGCTATATTCTGAAAACAGCAGCCCACATGTTCCTTTTCAAACTTAGATGAGATTAGGTCATTCAATTGTCAGAATTCCTATGACTCTATCTCATTCAGAGCAAATCTCAAACTAATGATAGCTTCCAAGGAATAAATGAATAACCCCTTATACCTCTTGAATTCACCTTTCATCAGTGTATATCTCATTCACTTTTCCCTACTACAAAGGCCTCTTAGCTAATTCTTAAGTACTACAGCCAATTTATGGTGTATTAGTCCATTCTTACACTGCTAATAAAGACATACCCGTGACTGGGTAATTTATAAAGAAAGGTGGTTTAATTGACTCAGTTCTACATGGCTAGGAAGGCCTCACAATCATGGCAGAAGGTGAAGGAGGAGCAAAGTCACATCTTACATGATGCAGGCAAAGAGAGTGTGTGCAGGAGAACTCCCCTTTATAAAACCATCAAATCTTGTAAGACTTATTCACTTTCATAAGAACAGTGTAGGGTGATTCAGTTACCTCTCAATGGGTCCTCCCATGACATGTGGGAATTATGGGAGCTATAATTCAAGATGAGATTTGGGTAGGGACACAGCCAAACCGTATCATATGGTTGGGACTTTTCCATCTACTTTTCCCTGTTCCTGGAACAGGTTTCCTACAGATGTCTATCTGACTCCCTCCCTTACTTCCTTCTGGTCTCTGCCAGAGTTTCTTCAGGGAAACCTCCTCTGAACACACACACACACACACACACACACACACAGTTTCTTATCTGGCATTTTCTATTTATATTCCTGGTATTATTTTTCTCCATAACACATATCACCCTTATAGTTAAATTTATATTTTCCCCCATATTGATGTTAGTTGCATGAGAGCAGGTGTATTACCTCTTCATTATTTCATCTCCAACACCTACAACAGTATCTGACACATACTAGTACTCAACAAATATTTGTTGGATGGATAAGTAGATAGAGGAATGTCAGTAATTTTAGATGTTTTGTGTACTCTTGTTATGTATTTTAGTTTAGTTTTAATATTATTGCTAAAACATTAAATATTTCTATGTGCCAGAGACTATATTATATATCAGTCAGCTTTTGTTGAAAGCCAGGTCTCAGTAGCTTATGACTGCATTTATTTCTTGCTCTCAAGCGTGTGGGTTGGCATAGAGAATAAGAGCAAAGACACAGATAGACAGACAGATAGATCCTAATCATAGCTCTATGTAATTTTATGTAGCTCTTAGCTATGTGTCTCTGTTTCATGTGGTCCTATCTCTCTGAGACCCTGGCTAAAAGACCAAGTCCCTATTTGACACATTTCATAGAGGATGGGGAAAAAAAGTGTATTTGAAATTTCTATTGGGACATGGTATACATCTCATTGTGTCTGTTCATGTTCATTATCCATTGATCAGATCCTAACAATGGGGCAGAGAAGTATTTTCCACCTCCAGGGAGCTCAGCAAGGGTAGGAGAGAGAGAAAATCTTTACAAGAAAGGGAGGTGGTATGTAGGGACAGTATTACAACTGGTCACTCATGCGTATTTTATCTTACATAATCTTACAATGTTTAGAGAGTCTAGAAGAGTGCCTGGTCCAACATAGGTGAATAGATGTTGTATATGGAGTAGGATTAATGCCTTTATTATACCAATTTTATAGAGGAAATTGAAAAGGAGATAACCTGCTCAAGGGTACCTAGCTGTAAAGTGGCAGAACACAGTGACCGCCTCTTGGGACCATAGTGTTCACCACTAGTGTTACACTGCTCATCAAATCTGCAAGGAAGAGGCTACAATCTCCAATTTACAAATATGAAACATTAAACTTAAAGAGCGTAAGTAGCCTGGATGAGAATACCAAATTAGGGATTGGATTGTGATTTTACCTAAGCTGGTCTGATTTCAATGGCCAGGGCTTCCTCCACATTGCCCCCAAATCTGAGATTAGAGAGAATCACTGTGACCTCAGAGGCAGAAGAGACCAAAAAAAGAATACAGAAAAGAAACGTGAGTCACCATTGAAACTGTTGTTGCCCTGATTATCCTACTAAATCCATTCTGTGGCTCACAATTCCAAGGAGAGGTAAAACAGCTACTAGAGGCACAGACACAGATGTGAAATATCAGTTACAGAGTGTTAGTCCCAATTTGCTGTTTCAAGTTTTGGAAGAAAAATAAAAAACTTTAAAAACTGTATGAACTGTGTGTTTTTTGCGTTGGCTTTATAACAAAATAAACTATGGGTCTAAACCACAAGGCTTGTTGAATCCTTAGGTTTGATAAAGGAATTTGATGTAATCTTGCCATAAGATGAAACAAAAATAAAAATTGGGCTCTTCACAAAAAATGTTACTCTTGATGCTTTCCAGTCTTTTTTTTTTTTTTTTTCATGGCATCATGTTATGTGAAGTAAGAATCATGCTTGTAACTTCACTTAGGGCATTGATTTCCTTTCAATATTAACTCATTTGTTTATAGCATTATTCTTCCTTGGCCAATAAAACAAAGCAAAAATAAATAAAAACTCAAAGTCACATACACACAAACCAAAATGTTGACCTAATCCCCAAAATGTGGATTTCTATCTTACCTACAACTTTTATTTTATAGAAAATGACTGAGCAGTAGATTATTTTACTTTTCTTTGTTACTTCAAAATCAACCTTTTCCCCTCATGCCTTCCTTGTAATTGTAATAAAAGCAGTGTTCTCTAGCAACCTGGGCTTGAATTTCCAGTCATCTTTGACATTCTTCTTAAGCTTGTTCGGTTGCAATTTCCACTGACTACAACCGTAAGATATTTCTCAGACCTGCTTTTTTCCATTACTCTGACTCGAGACAATATTGACTTGAATGAAAAGCAAATATTAGACTAAGTATGTTATTAATTTTCCCCAATAATTTTTATGCCCTTAACTGAGTTTATTTTCACTTTGTCTTAAAACATCATCATTTGCTCTTCCAAGTCTTCTCTCTCATATTCTAAGCTATAGATGTTTCTGATTTAATTTTCAAATCTTTCTCAATTATGAATTATACCTGCTTTGTTTCAATACTTTTATAATATTGTTAATTTATTTTTCCTACTTTATTAAGATATAATTGGCAAAATGATATGTTTTAACATGTCTGTATATTATGAAATAGTTACCACAATCAAACTATTAATAATTAACACATCTCTAACCTCATAAAGTTACTCATCCTCTGTATGTGTTGTAAGTGAACTTGACTGGATGTGGTGGCTCACGCATGTAAACCTAGCACTTTGGGAGGCTGAGGCGGGTGGATCACCTGAGGTCGGGAGTTCAACACCAGCCCGGTTGATGTGGTGAAACATGGTCTCTACTAAAAATACAAAAGTCAGCCAGGCATGGTGGCACACACCTGTAATCCCAGCTACTTAGAAGGCTGAAGCGGGAGTATTGCTTGAACCTGGGAAGCGGAGATTGCAGTGGGCCAAGATGGCGCTACTGCACTCCAGCCTGGGCGACAGAGCAAGACTCTCAAAAAAAGAAAAAAAAAAAAAAAGGCACTTAAAATCTACTCTCAGCAAATTTCAAGTGTACAATGTCTTACCAGAAGTTACTCTTCTGATAACTGAAAGTTTGTACCATTTTACCAACATATCTCCATTTCCTTCATCTCTCAACCTCTGCTAACTACCTCTCTA